TCTCCTGTATTACTGAAAACAATATGCACATAGTATATGATTTCTTTAAATTTGAAAAAAAAATTTTTCTTTTTAAATATTGTAATCCAGAATACTTAATAAATAGTAACAAATGGATAAAAGCCCTTCAGATTACAAATTTCAAAGAGGTTTCATTTTTAAGAGATCACATGGTATGAGCTTCTTTTGTTTTAGCTTCTGTAGGTGGGATCAATTTACAATGGACTAACATAGCAAACTGAAACCCCCTCCTATTAACTTTCATATTTTTTTTGATGCATGCTGTATAGAGTGCTTAATCTATAGTAATATGAGAAAAGATTATGCAAAAATGATTATTTTTAGTTGCAGTGCCTATTGTAGAACTTGATCCAAATTCCATAGCCATATGCTGACTATCCTCCTTTCATGGCACTGAAATGCTTTATGTCTCTTCAAACATGTTTTATCACTATTGGTTTGGTATTGTTTTTAATGGACACATGATTGACTTTACAACAAACACAGTTCTCAAGCTGACAAATTGCAAAAGGTTCATTTATTTATAGGTAAACTTTGCTACATGATGACTTCCCATCCTTGAGGTGTAAGTCAAGGATGGGAGGTCATCATATAACAAAGATATCTCACTGATGAACTGTCAACTGACAGACAAAACAAAAGTGTTCAAATGGAAGAGAAACAAAGATTTTTTCAATGAAGAAGCTCATCTCTTGTGGCATTAAGTAAACTGAAACTGCTAACAAGCAGACAGAGTGACTTCAAGTTTTCCAGGTGATTTACCTTTCTGAAAAAAAAATTGCAGAAAAGGAGAGCTGATGGAAAGATGCAACTCTGTAAAACTGGAGTCACACCAAATTGTGGCCACCATGGCAGAACTTGACTCTCCTCTACTGGCTTTAGCAGTCATCAATAGATGAGAAGTGAGCCTTCTGAAATCTTGTTTTTGAAATCAAGCTCTCATCTCTCTCTCTCTCTCCCTCCCTCTCCCATGCACACACACACATGGTTCACTGTCAAAATTAGTTCTTAAGAAAGAAAACAACAATAAACACAAAAGAAGGTAAAATAATATTTAATGTGAGAAAAAAAAACAGAAAAATTTCTTTGAAAAAAAAAAAAAAAAAAAAAAAAAAATCTGTGACTGTCTATTTCTATATTCCAAAGAAAGCAAATGCCATCCTCTTCACAAAATATGAAGATATAAGAGGATTGCCAAAATAGGAATCGAGGCAAGAACACAAGTGACTGTCTTGTGAAATTCTCTGGAAACAGAAATAAATAAAAAGCAGCAACAAAGATTTTCAGCAGTCTTTGAAGATATTGTGAAGAATAAATGCCAAACAGCAGGATGGATTCTGTTCAGGTCAGATGACAATGGAATGAAAGCTGTAGTAGTAGTAGTAATAGTTGGATCTCTGGGTCATTTTAGTGATTAATTACTGGATACTATTAAATAATAAAACAAGAAGTAGTAGCAGTAAAGAAAGATAAAAGAATTCAGAAGAAAAGGTAGAGAAAAATTAATCTTTTGTGTTTTTAAAATCAATCAAAGCAAATAACCTGATTGATGAAATTAAATAAATTAGAAAAAAAAATTATTAAATGTGAATTAGATTTAAAATTCAGAAGACAGGGTTTCAATTCACATTATGGATTATTTTTTAGGCAGCTATTTCTATACATTTAGCATGTTGATCCAAAAGTGATAATTAGTCTGATACTCATAAAATGTTCAAAAGTTGATGGCCTCATGCCTGACTAAGCCTAATTTTTATTCAAGTGACTCAATAAAAGGAATGAAGCAAAAAGTTTCCAACTGAGCAGATTTTGGCATTATCTCCATTTTTAGGTTTCTTTTTTTCATTTCTCAAAATGATTCTGCAGTTAATGAGGAACTTGCCAAAGAGTTTAAATGCTGGGACAGTGATGCTCATTGAAAACATAATTATCAAGCCTCATTTCCCAGCAACAGGTGAGAATTGCATTTTGGGTGGGGTGAGGGTCAAGTATGCATACAGCCACACACAGAAGACAATACAAGCAGCACATAGAGAGATTTTGGCAAATTAACCCACTGTACTCAAGATATCATGACAAAGAAAGACAATTATAGAGTTACAAGATTCCAAGCTTATTGAAAATAAATTGATAAGCAAAATGCTGATGTGAATTGGAAATGTTTAAAAATGTTGGATCACTTGTACCAAGGATTTATGCAGTTAGTATTTTGAAGTATTTCCAAGGTCAAAGGGTTGAAGTGAAGGCCACAAAAATAGCTTTTGAATATGTAAAGGAGGAGAAAGAAATAAGGAACAAAAAGAAAGAAAGAAATAGCTTTTGAATATGTAAAGGAGGAGAAAGAAATAAGGAACAAAAAACAACAATGGAAGACACAAGTGAGAAATTCTTGAAGCTTTTGAAGAAAAAAAAACAAACCTTTTAGTCACTAAATCATCTTTACACTCCGGTCCAATTTTTGACAGCATTTTCAGGTGACTAAGAAATAATTCTAACAGAAGACAATGATATTTGGGACATTGTGACATGTTAAATCAAGAAGAACATAAATACAATTTAAAGATCTTATTCCTAATTAAATATTTGTTGGACAAGGATTTTGCTAAGGAATCTTTTGCATTATTTCTTGTAGAATAAATACTGAAACCTGTAGATACAAAAGTAACTCCCCATCCCCTGACAAGCAAGCCCAATCATGATTTTAACAATTTTTTCTTCATCATGAGAAATAGATTATTCATGAAAAGCATTATATATATGACTTTTCAATATAACTAAAAACAATTTTGACAGATTTCTTTACAATATTCCTTTTAGAAACTGCACCTGTAAATTATGTAAATATCTTAATTAGAAAATAAATTATAAATTAAACTTTATAAGAAAAACTGTAAAATATAAATTTAAAAACTATATTTTATTGTCTGAAGGTCAAAGGTGGAGCATAGTCATTAAGACAAATATACTCATCTTTGTTGTTTTAATGATTACCATTTTAAGTTGTCTGGCACTTCTGCAAGTGTTTTTCACATCCAGAAATTTTCAAGACTTTTCTTTCCTTGTCCATCACATCCAAGATTCAAGCAACAAAGATTTACAGTTCCAGGCAAAGATTTTCATTTGACTAGTGATCAAAACAATAAAAGTAAAGATATTAGTCAAAATAAGATTTCAGTACATTTAGAATTTGATTTCAGCTGTTCAAAAATGAGCTGAATAAATAGTGGCATGCCTTTCAGTGATCTTTGGGAATCAGATTGATTTAGGGAGAAGTCAAAAAATATTTTGCATCTATAAAAAGACAGGAAATATATTTAACCAATTGCCAAAGAGGTGAAATGTAGAAGAGAAAAAAAAACACGAAAAGATATTTAAATCCAATGAAAGATGCTAAGTTAAGAAACCAATTGACTAAGATGATTCAGAGAGAAAAGATAAGAGAATGAGAGATAGGTATGTTGTTATCTATAAAGGATACTACAGCAGTTTGTGGTTACTATCCAACCTGATTTCGTTATTATGTAAGATCAACTGGACTACTTTTTTTAATTGGCCACAGAAATAAATTTTTAACATTCTAAACGTATTTTTTAAACTTTAGAAGCTGAATACATCTTTCTTAAACGTTTAACTTTTTAAGGATTTTTACCAAAATAAATTCCATTTTTCTTTTGTTAATTCTTAATGCATTTGTATTTCTGTCTAACACACTAACAACAATTAGGAATTTTCTTCTTCACAGTTTCAATATTTAAGAAATCTGAGATGGGTTGACTGTAAACTTAATCAAAACAAAATTTAGTCTGTACTTTAATCCTAATGTTAAGCATTAATATGTTAATTAACAAAAAGGCAACAAAACTAATTAGCATCTGTTGTCTCTAGGGGATGAAGTGACCCCCAAAAAGATAAAAGAAAATTATGACATGGCCCCACTGTTTCTCCAATTTATACCACATATGTAATAATGAAGGAGAATCATATTTAAGAGAAAATGACTTCTATCTTCTGATTTACAATGCTTAGCTTATTATGGAGGGACAAGAGGAAATAGTGGAGAGGAAATGAGTGAGGAAAATTGTGTTGCATCATGTCTTCCAGGTGAGAAGGGCCTGCCATGAAAATGTGCATTCAAATTTTTTTTTTTTTTTGCCTGCACTTAAACATTCAACTTCTGGCTTTGATAGGAAATACCCAACTAACTCAGTGACAAAACATGCACCCTATTTAATATACTCAAGATTGGAGATGAGTAATTGCCAAATTCTGTGTAAAAGAACAAACATTAATTATATTCTCACCTTATATTTCAAACTCTTTTAGCCAGCCAAACTTTAAATCTAGCATTCACGGTTGATGCATACAAGCCAAATAAAATGATAAACATTTTTTTTTTTTAATAAAAGAACAAAGTGTAAGCTGGAAGCAAAAATGGAATTCTTTTTCTTTTTGATTGTAGACATCAACTGATATGTTAAGAGGAGACAGGAACTTTAGCAGTGGAAATGTTATGAACTTTGTAGGAAGAGTGGGGGACAGTTTGTTAGGTGGGAGGGAGGGAAAGAATAATTGCACAGATTCTTCCTAAAGTTGACAACATTTCAGTCACACAAATCTCTGACCTTCACAGGGTGATGAAAGAAAATTTTAGAATGACTTTGATAAATGGCATCAAACACTCACAATGGCAACACTTTTCTCCTCTCTCTCAAGTTAGACTCTTGAGAAAAGAGACTAGATTGAAGAACATTCTAGGGATTTTCTTCTTTTTCATTCATCTTTTCTTTCATTCTTTCTTTCATTCATTCTTTTTGTTTTTGTTTCAGTCATGAATGTTGGAATGGAAAACAGCTGCAGTGACTGACAGTTGCCATGGCAACCAAAAGGCCAATGAAATCACAGACAAAGCAATCAGATGCAGACAACATGTTCTTTTATGGAAAATGAAGAATGGGTTGGTGCAAAAAGATGACAGATCTTCAAGGAGGACGCACATATAAATTTGTGACAGGATTCCGCACCGGGATGCTAACATTGTTCTTGAAATGTACAATTTTTCGACCTGATGGAAAAAAAATAAAAATTATAAATATATATACTTAGATCAATTTATATAAATGTTTTGACAAAATCAAATACAAAATAAAGGTTACAAGAATATTTAAATTTTCCTGATATTGGGACGGGCATAAACATCACATCAAAGCTGATCAAGTGTAACTAAAAACAATGCAAAAGATAATATGTAACTGACTCTGATCAAAGTAAAATTGCATTCATGTTTTCATGAAAATGAAATCAATAGTGATGCAAAAAAATTATTAATTCTTTTTGTAATCCTTTTTATTGTACATGTGGATGGACATGACAATGCAGAACTCCTGAGAGCCACCACTAACAAATTATTCTGGAGGAGGTTATTTGGCTCTTCTGCCCTTAAGTCCCCCTTAATGTTTAAAGCATTCACGGGACTGGTAATGATAATTGTACTTGAAGATATTTATAGTCACAAAATAAACTGACAGATTTTATTATACAAGTCAATGTCTTAACAATAAAATTGTTATTAACCAATTGTTGTGAGTAAATCTTCAGAATATATTTATTTATGTGATAAATATACATTGTAAACTTCTGCTAATTCTGAATTTATTAAAAATATTTCCACTAATTTATTTGGTCTTCCAAGATTATACCACTTGCAGATTCAACATCATATTGTAAATAAATATCTATGACAGTATAATTATTGATATTCATTTTTTAATTTCAAGTATATAAAAACTGCCATGGTTCATATGAAAGATATAACATCAAGAGAGAACAAAGTTATTGTAAAATATCTTTGTTCTTTTTGAGGTTATAAATTTTTCTCATCATTCAAAATGTTTGAAAGGAAAGCAAGCAAATTATCACCTTTAAGTAAGCATCACAAAATGATATGTATAAGTTGGGTGAAGTAGTACATGAAAACTGAATTCTCAATGGTTGGTTGGTTGATTTTGTTTAGCAGCATATCAACACCTCTATGGGTTATTTAATGCTGAAATCTAAATATTTTGAACTCAATTTCATAGCTTCAACTAAATATATTTTGAACGCAATTGTATGCCTTCAACTATAGATAAAATGCATTGTTGGTAATTCTACCATAAAATGTATTGCTGGCCATTTTGCTTTAAAATTATAGTGTTGGTCATTTTACTATAAATAGGTATTGCTGGTAATTTTTTATATTTATACTTTCATAGTGCTTTGTTTTTGTGTGGGAGTTCACTATTTGCCCATAGCTGGGAACTGAACAGGTGCTACCACCCCGGGTTAGGATGGACCTAGGAACAACAGCAATTAAAAGTTGGTTCCACTCTCCTTAAAACCTCTAATCTCTTGATCAGAGGCCTTGCTGCTGGATGTAGTTTATCATCATACCCAGGACTAATTCCTCAATAGTAATTTTTAGTAATGACTGTGTATTTATATTAGATGGGCTTGCTGGCTGGGCTAGGAGTTGGTTCAAAGTTTGTCAGCAGAATAATTGGTAAAGCAGCTTGAAGATAGTTGTTATGTGACCGACTGGTTAGAACGTTAGTCTTTTGACCATGAAACCCTGGTTTGAATTTCACCAGGTCAATTTCTCAGGGAGGTAATTTCTTGACAATATCTGCTTGCAGAAATGATGCCAGAATGCAGCACTTTTGGGAAATGTCTGAAATTGGGAAGATAAAACTGTTTGAACGCCATTGATGGTTGTGCTAGCATGAAGTCATAAGTCATTGTGACTGAGCATTTCTGGCCTTGTTCAACCACTGGTTATGAAATTATACACTGTCTCCCAGAAACTCTAACTAAGCTCTACTCAGCATAATCGGCTCTGTAGGTGTTAAAAAAACACAAATGTGCCTGAGAAAGTGTCAGCAACAGGGAATAAGATAGCCACCCTTATAGATTACATAGTCTCTTGAAACTGACAATGCCTACTTCTATTTGAAGATATCACAGGAATGAAATAGGAAACAATAACTAAGCAAATGTTGCCCATATTTCCTTTCACAAAAATGTAAAAACATTTTATCATTATTTAAAACAAAAAGCATCAACAAATTCTAAGCTATAAATTCCTGAAACGATTCTGCAGGAATTTGCTTCGGTGAGAATTTTTTAAAGCTTGAAAAGAGGGAATTGAACAAAATGAAACAGAAAGCAGGGTGTGATACCTGTCCATGTGGTTTCCTCTGTCATCACAAAGCCATGGCATTCAGGGTCCGTATCACACATGTCTTCAGCCTCCTTTCTGTCAAATACAGACAAGGCACAACCAGTCCCAGATAATGATGCCCAGCACCGGTAATCATGAATACCAGGCAAATCATATTGTTTCATTTCTTTGTAGGCTGAAAAAGAAAAAGATATTAATTAAATAACTGAATCTGAGATTGTCAAAATTGTTAATCTTTAGAGTAATAAATATTTTTGATGTAAAAACGGTTTATCTCCCTTATTTTTCATTTGATAAATTATTCCACATTTAAAAATAGTAACTTTCTTTATTCTAAAGTTTTTATTATTGATTTTTAACCAGTCATAGAAAACAAAATCAGAATAAATAAAGTAAAAAGTATCTTAAGGATAAATAGAATAGAAATAAATAGAATAAATAGTGTTCAGGTTGCAAAAATAAATATATTCATGACTGGGAATGTAAAAGAATTTGAAACTGATGCAATATCAATAAAAAAGTGTTGTCCTAAGATGAAGAAGAACTGAAATACAAAATGAATGGTATTTTGTTAAAAGCCTCCAAGACTTTCCTATTAATGTCTAAACAATAGTGTTCTATTAGAATATACAAGTCTTTTGTCTGCTTGCTACTAACGCCCTGCTAATAACTTTAATATAACACACACTCCTTGCAAGAATATAAAAAATAAGTGACACGGATGTGACTTTTCTTAAGGTATTTTAACACCAACTGAATAGGGTTTTTAATGCATGCATCTTGATTGAAAAAGATATGAAAATCATATTTCTTGAAAGCGATTTAAATATGGTGAAATACTTTTTAGCAATGTTTTATGTAGATTTCTCTTGAAGAGTTATTTTTTATGCTTACTGGTATTCACAGGTGAAGTTCGATTGAGATAGGCCCCACTTTTGTACAGGTTCACGGCTTTTTCCATGTTTGCTAACAAAGTGTCAGCGTTCATTGTCAGGTTGGTGAATCCAATGACAACATCAGTAAGAATCGGACGGAGTAAGTCAGGTGCACCATGCGGCAAGCGGAACATGATGAAATGTCGACCAGCATTAAAAATGTTCTTTTTCTCATTTAAGCCAACACAGCGACCATTTTGACATGGAATCCTTCAAGATGAAGAAAAAAAGTTGAAGTTTTTAAGTGCAATGAAGGAAGATGAGGAAGAGAAAAAATAGAAACAAGGATAAAAAATTACCAAAGAATTAAAAAAAAAATTTTTTCTTCGTTTTTTCTTTTATCTCCCAAAAATCTATTTCAAGTTTCATTTTCCTGGAATTTATGACATTGATTTTGTTAATTTTGTTTATTCAAGCCATCTTCAAGACAATATGAATGATAGTGATTTGATGTTTTGACATTTGAATAGAATTTAAAAAAAAAAAAAAAGAAAGAAAGAAAGAACTTTACCATTTGATTAGCTATAAATCTATCTCAAATTTCACTTTTTCTGTAATTTATGGAATGGTAAAGTGGTAAATGGTAAAGTTTTTTTTTTTTTTTATTCTATTTGAATTTCAAAACATCAAATCACTATCATTCACATTGTCTTGAAGATGACTTGAATAAACACTGAATCATTAACAAAATCAATGTCATATTGTGTGTATGCGGATGGATGCGTATATATGTACACATTTTGATTGATGGATATCAACATAAAGTGACTTGCTTCAAAATAAAAAAACACTTACAAATATAGAATAGATAAAATATGTAAAGCCCTAAATACAATTTCAAGAAGTTGCCATCTTTCTTTGCATAAAAACACATGTTTTATGTATGATGGCTGCAACTTGATTTTTAGTCATGCCATTACTTGATTTATTCTCAAATAGAGACTGCAAAGATGTGGCTTTTTAGTCCTGCTAAGGTCTTACATTCTTTTGCACATATGTAGCAACATTGGGTGTTACTTGCAGTCATTGTTACATTAATATTTTGGTGAACTTTCAATGCTTGGCATCTTTGATGATTTTTGATGCCTACCCTACGTAGACAGACAACTGTATTTATTATGTGTTAGATCAAATTCTGTGACAACATCCTCAAGGAAATTAACATCAAGATTTTTATGAACATTCATCTTGAGTTTTTCATGAACAAAATGATTCTGTTCAAAGTGACTGTTACCATTGTGCACTACTTTCCTCCAGGATGAACATTCTAGAAATAGGTTTTCCCAGGTCATTTTGCATGAGGTTGACCATTGGTAGTGTGTTCTTGCTGCAATCTTTATACTTCAATTTCATCTTGTGCACTGGTTTTTTCCTTCAATCAACCCACCTTACAGAAAGTTCTTAGGGATCCTATCATCCTTCATCTTTACCACATGCCTCCCCCACTCCAAGCTGGTGCTGAGTGAAGTACTGTATTCGAGAATATCAACATCACTCACATAAATTTGCTGCTGGGTACCCAATATATGGCAGAGACATTGTGGGCAAAATTACTCCAGCATTTTCATGTATCTCTGGTAAGTTACATGGGCCAGATTTTACACACACACACACACACACACACAGACACACACAGACACATAAGGGCAATTTTTTTTATTTATAAGCTAGTTTTTCTGTATTTGAGTTTTGTAAATCGATTTTACTTCAGATAGATTTTTCTTGACACTGACAGCTATTGTTTTTGGAAAACCTGTAAAAAAATTACCTCTTTACTTGTAAGACAGCAAATTAACTTACTTGGCAGTAAATTGTAGTGAAACTGAGGTTGAATGAACAGCACAATCATTTAAGGAGTTGCATTGTGGTTCACCAATGCCTATGTCATCAATGTCACTCAATTTCAGTTGACCCTTTACCAGCACAAATTGTTGGTGTCGAAAGTCATTCATTACAATGGAACCATGAGGAGAATGTGACATAAAATGGATCAGTTTGGTCAAATCATAGGAAATCTGGAGAAAAACATCAAAAATAAATATGACAGTCAATATGACAATGAAATAATTTTCTAGGAAAAAAAAATAATAGAATTATCAATCAATATAGAATCACTACAGAAAACTACCAGGTTGATGAAATTGTTTAACACACACACACAAATTAACAACTGGAGTTTAAATTTTTAATTTTGGCTGAAGTTGTTGACATTCATCTCACCATAATGCCCTCAGAAAAGGCATGAATCTTCTTCTCCCTGAATCTAGTCCTATTACCAAATATCTTGACAAGTTGAAAATGAGCAAGGGAGCATGTCACTCTCCCATAATTTGCCCAGGTAATAAAAGCAAAAAAAACTGTTACTTCTATTGTCAGCCTTTAACAGGAATGTGTCATCATCTTCTTAATGTCAGATCAGACAACTTAAGAACAAATTGTTAATAAACAGTATTTAAATCAAAGAGAAATAAATTTTTGAAAACAAAAGAAAATTATATTCTGGGAGGGGGCAGCAAGACAAAAACGAAATTCAGTTTTTGTACAGAAGTTGATTTTAAAAATACGGGATGGCTTATTTCCTCAGATGATACCAGTCTCTGAGATTAGGGCAGGGGTTGTGTGGGGGCGGTCGGGGGTGGGGGCAATCACTCTTGCTTGCTTCATTGGTTGGAATTATCTTCATCATCTTCGATTTGAAAGAAAAAAAAAATGCTTTTCTATCTTGACCTGAGTCACCCCACTTGAGTGAACATACACATGCCACAACATGAACCCACTCCCAACACCGACCCATCTTCCTGCCTGAGTAATTTAACATCTCCAGTCAAGTAAGCTTATATCTGATAAGCAATTCAACTTGCCACTCATTTCTTGTTGGTGGCAAGCCTGCCATGAAAGGGTTGGGGCAGGAAGGAAAGGCGGATAGAGGGTGTGGTGAAGAGGCAGAAGAGGAGTGGAGAGGCAAGTGAAAAGGTATATATGTTGGGTAGAGACAGTAGTAGTGGTGATAAATGCATATCGCCAGCACCACCCTACTCTGCTGACATCATCTATTTCTATTTTCCTCTTTGTCCTTCAGTCTTTCTTGGGCTTTGCCGTCAGATCAGTTATTTTTTTCTTGAGAGAGAGAAAGGTGTATAATTTATATTTGCACAATTCCCAGTGAATTGCTATTCCAACCCATTCATGCTTTCCTTACAAGTCTTCTTTATGCTGTTACTATTCTTCCACAATTTTTTGTACAAGATGTTTTCTTAACCACAATGCATTTGTAAACGAGAGAGAAGTTCAAAAGATTCTTCTTCCCACTCCTCAGGGTAAGATACATCTACTGAATTCATTAACAGATTAAAAATTTAATAATTTATATTAATTAATAATTATAAAAATAATTAGCAGATTTGCTAAAAAAAAAATTAATTAAAAGAACACATTTTAAACAAGTTAAATTTTGGGTTTTTATTTGAAAGATAATTTACTAAAGCTGCTAATTCACAGAAAAGAAAAAATCATACATATTTAATTAAAATTTTTATTTTTTTAGAACATTGGAATAAAAAAAAAAAAAATGCTTTTCTATCTTGACCTGAGTCACCCCACTTGAGTGAACATACACATGACACAAGATGCAAGAGATAAAGAGATGTTGAAAATTAACAAGATGTCCACAGCAGGATAAAAAAAAAAAAAAAAAATGAGATTGAAAGAGAGAAGTATTTTACATCGGCCTTCTCTCTCTTGAGAGAACCACCATTACTCTATGGAAAAATAAAAATAACAAATCTAAAAAATTCTTTTAAAAATCCAATATTTGTTCAAGAGATTTGTTTAAAAGTAGATTAGTAAATATAAGGATTAACTGAATTTTGTAAAAATAATACTTTTTGCTTAAAACATTTATTTATGCATGGTAGCCTCTAAGCTGTTATTACGGTCATAGGTCAACAACATTAGTTTTCTATTGTCACCACCACTTTTAAAAATTGAATTTTAACATTTTGTTACTTTACATGAGCATTTTCAAAACACAACTGAAGACTCTAAGGAAAAGTCATTACCCAGTTATACAAAAAGTTACATTCAACTTGAAATATTCTAAAAGTTAATAGAAAATTTAAAAATACATCCATGAACAAATCAATGTAAATTATGTTAAAATAAAATGTAAATATGGTGATGAAATATAGAAAAAGAGAAAAATGAATGAACAAAAGCTTGGCTTTGGAAAATGAAGCATGTTGGTGAGCTAAGTATAAATTCCAGTTGAATCCATTACATTCACTTATGTGAATATTTATGTGAATACCCTTGGGAAAGGTATGAATCCTCTTCTTTGCCCAGCTATGCTTAAATAGCAGGAGAGACCAGGTTCTATAGCCTTGGATGGCAAAGGGTCTACCACAGAAAGAAATGGCAACCTACCGTGGGAAAAAATCTGCCTTGTCATTCATGTATCAAAAGATATATGATTGCTTAAGTGTGTATCACACATGGCACATAACTGATATCCAAAGAAAATAGTGAATACTTATAATTAAAAATATAATTTATGATTATATATTATTTAGGTACTAAGATAAGAATTTAATTTACTAGTATTTAAGATGTTTAACCAGTATCTGTTTTAATATTAGTTTTAAGAGGTGATATGTTATCAAAACCTACTTTTTGATTAAGTGAAGTGAATTTTGATATCATAGTTGATTCAATAATTCTTCTAGGTGATTTATGATGAACAAATAAATTTAACCATTTTGTAAATGGGAGAAAAAAAAATTTAATTTATCCATAATTTTTATAGCTTTTTTGAGTTTGTAACTGTTTTATGTTTCAAATGTGATCAATTTTACATTTCTGAAATGTAACAAATTTTAAAAACAGGCCAGTATTCACTTAACTCTTTCTCTATTTTCTTTCCAAAATGTGTTACGAATTATTTGTATTTCTTTTCCATGTCAATCAGGTTTTCTTAATATTTTGTTTTGTTATTCATGTTGCACCTGTTTATCGAATGTCTGTGTGTAATCTAGGAAACAGGTATTTCTTCCCTTCTATTCCTTGTTCTAACAATATTCTAATCATGAAAATTGCATTTCTTGTTTCAGTGTCATGTGTCTCATCAAGCTGATTGGTCGATTGAATTTGCAACATTGAAATTTTTTTTTTCACCATTATGAAGACTGAACTACTGAGAGGCTGTCATTTTGCTGCTGCCATTACATCAGGTAAAAAGCCTAAAATTTCTGAAATTAAGGTTGCTTCTCTGTGTCCTTTCTATAAATACTTTCATGGTAATTGTTTGGAAGAGCTTTTCGCTATGGTACCTAGACTTCTTGAATTTAAGTGCAGTAGGTAGGCTTTCCTACCGCCTGGTCAACACTCCTCCCCCTTCTCTTGGACATGAGTAGAGGCTTATGCCTTGTTTCTTGTTTAGGAAGGGGTTTCTGGTACTCCCTCTCTCTCACTGGCCTCTGTATCTCCAGTTGCCTTGATCTAACCACTCCTCTTCTCCTCATCCTTTCTTCTATCACTCCTATCTGATCTTGCTCCAAATTTTCTGTAACCCCTTGCGTCCTAGTGGCTTTCCACCTTGCTTGGGGTGAAACGCTTAATAAAAAAAAAAAAAAAACTAGAGTACTAGACTGGCATTGTGATCTCATCAATTTACAGTTCAGTTGGCTAGATGTAACCATAAGTTCTATGCTAACTGTTTCTTTTCCTGCACTTCCTGCTTGTGGAACTCCCTTCTGGCTCCATGCCTTCCAACCAACTTTAATCTGCAAAATTTAAATGCAATGTCAATCACTATCTACTGTCTTCCTGATTACTCTTTCCTCTTCCTACTCATTATTAATATCTCTGTTCCTAATTCTTTCATACCCTGCAACCCATTGTGTGTTAGTGACTTTACTGTCTTGCATGGGGCAATATGGATTAAAAAAAAAAAAATTTAAACTTAATGTATGTTAAACTTTTATTTTTATTTTTTGCCTAAAGTAGGTTATACTAAAGAGAAATGATTTTACATTCATTATTTTTTAATTTTTTTCCCTTTCTCTCGCTCACATTCCTGTTCTTTTCAATTCATTTCCTCATTTTTTTTTTTAAAAACTTACACGCCTGTTCATCTACAAAGTGTGGTTTTATACATTTGACACCTCCAGCTGGATTAATATGTCTACAAAAAACCCCAGTTATTCTGACTTATATTCTATGATCCACAACAATGCAGATTTGCTAGCAAGAGAGAAAGAGATGTTGAAAATTAACAGGATGTCCACAGCAGGATAAAAAAAAGAAAAAAATGAGATTGAAAGAGAGAAGTATTTTACATCGGCCTTCTCTCTCTTATGCGCCCCAGGGGCAATCAAACACCAATCCCACGTTTTGGGGTGGGTGGGTTGTGCTGTTGGTTGCTCCATACACAGGTGTGATTATCAGTGACACACATCACAAACCATATTATACAAATATAATTTTTTTCTTTTTCTTCCTTTCCTTGTAAATCGCTCATTTTATTTCTCCCTTCCCTCTACATTGTCTTCTTTCTCTTCTTACTTAGAATCATCATATTTTTTCTTTTCTTTTTTCTTCTACCATCAACTCCCTTTCCTAGCAGTAAATAAATAGTTGCATGTCATAATACACATTTAGTGACACAAACACACATAAAATACAATATGCATTTATATTTTAATTCGTTTAAAAATGCTTCTTGTCTTAAGGTTGAAAACTTCTTGGCCTGACCAAGAAGGGATTATAAAAATAACAACAAAAAAAACATATTTCTGATGCTTGGTCATTTGGTCAGTTTTGGGAAAAGGAGTCAGGACGAGAACTTTTTGGCACCCCTTCAGAAAATTAAAAAAAAAAAAAAAAAAAAAGACAATTTATTTAATAAATAAGTTGTTATAATTTAGTTTTAAGTTATTTGATTTGATTTTTAATTCACTTAAAACAATCCTAAAATTGTTTTTGAATTTTATTTTTTTGATGAATAATCGTCTAAATTTGC